AAACCGGGTTTCGATACCCGTGGTGGGCAGAGCACAGATAGCCCTTGTGTAGTCTTGTGCATAATTAAAAACAAACAAACGAAACGTCTCAGGACAAAAACACAAGACTGATTCACCTAAAGAATGCCCTTTCGACGTTTTTCATTACTTGTGACCGAAACGACGAACTCCAGAGAACTGTCCTGGCAGATATCACATGTTCAGCGTGTTACTGGAAAGTTGTTACTAAATAAAAAGTAAAATTCAGAAGAAAAAAAAACAACTAATGAACTGTTACACTAATGAATCTTAGTGACGCTGTATAAACTTTTACTTAAGGAAGTTTACGTGGAGGGAAGGGGGAACTGTTTCCGGCGATAATCCACCAGGCCACATTTTGTTTGTCAGGAAGTTAATCATCACTGTGTAGTAAAAGTAACATCTGGAACTCTAACAAAACGTGCATGTGCCAACAAGAGTAAAGTAAATCAACAAAGTAGAGATTGTATAGACTTTTGGAAGTTCAATGAAAAACATGAAGATCCTTCTCTTTACTACGTTCTTCCATTCTAAACATTTTGTACAATGAATACTTAAGTTATATAGCTTTTAATATTTATGTATTCGTAACATTAAGTTTGGCCTATACTTTGGTTTTTGGTTATCAATTTTCCGTGATGTTTAAAGGTTTACTAAAAATAATATAAAGGTGAAGAGCTATTGGGATTGTGAGAGGTTTTCTGCTATCAACGAGATTATACAAAATTGACCAAGGTAAAAAGTGCTACCGCTCGCTAGAGCTTTAGTTAGAATAAAACTGAAATTACTTTCAGTACGTGGATTTTAAATAATAAAAGTGACACCAGAACATTTATGTTTTATTTTTTTTAACTTCGCGCAAAGCTACACGAGGGCTATCTGCGCTAGCCGTCCCTAATTTAGCAGTGTAAGACTAGAGGGAGGGCAGCTAATCATCACCACCCACCGCAAACTCTTGGGCTACTCTTTTACCAACGAATAGTGGGATTGACCGTCACATTATAATGCCCCCACGGCTGAAAGGGCGAGCATGTTTGGTGTGACGGGGATTCGAACCCGCGACCCTCAGATTGCGAGTCGAGCACCCTAACATTTATGAAGAAGAAGATAATGGCTAATTTGATTGTGTTAATTAGCGGCTGTAGTTTTCAACTAAATTTTCTTTCATATCAATTACGTATAATTAAAACAACAACAACATTT